GGCGCCCCGCGCACCTCCCGCGGGCGTCCGCGCCGACGCCAGCCCTGGCTGCTGCGCACAAACTCCACACGCAATACCGCCCTTCTTGGGGAATGCCACCTCGTTTATTCGGGGCTCCGTACCCTGAGAGGGCTGGAAACGCTCAGCAGAGAGGGAGTTCGCGACCAATACTGGAAATTCAAATGCTCAAGAGTTGCCCTCTCAACCATTTCACATGTGTAAAAGGTGTCAAAATAGATTGGCATGACTTCAAAAGGGAGCTCTTTTGCCACTGAAAATGACATCCAGCTCGCTCAAGCGACGGTCCTGCAGGAGACAAGGCGCTCTGGTTTTCCTCTAGGCTCTGGGGGTCGTCAGCCTCCCCAAGTCACAACTGAGTTGCTCTTTCCAGGCTTTTTGAAGCATCCTTAAGTTTGCCCACCAAGTCCTAAAAAATGTACAGCTCATGTCACAATCTGGGGACACAAGAAAGGAAGCACCCGGCTTTGAGGCAGCTGCAAGAAAAGTCCGAATAACATCTAAGGAGTCTAAAACTGAAGGTGACTTTAACGGCTGGCAAAACACTGTCAAAAGAAGTGCTTCCCTTACCGGACCTCATCTTCGAGTCAGCTATTCAAGTTCTAACTAAGAGTTTTTACAAGCACAAAATATCTAAACCATGTCTAAACTTCTCTAAGGAAAGTTGATTCACACCTTTTCTGTTTAAAGTTGTTCTAATATTGACACTGAAATGACTGCAGATGTCTTTGGAACATTCAATTTCATCCAAATGTTCAGGGATATTCTTCATTTTATTTAATTGGTAAGACATAACTTCGTTGTCCATCAATCAACGAAGTTTTCAATTTCTTCAGTTTTGCACTGACAATATAAAGTTTTAAGAAGTTATGTGAACTTTCCCTTTGTAGAGTAATTTAGAACTGCTGCTTAAAAATACAACTTTGAAAGTTTAAGTTGTCAAAGGCATTTTTAAATCCTTGCTCTTACTTTTGCTCAGTTTTACTGAATCAGATGCATAATAAAATGAAGGCAAGTGTATTGAACACAAAATTTCAGAAGTTATGTTTCTTTAAAAACAGCAAACACAGGCTACTGATATGTTACTATCTTACTTTTAAAAGTGAAGTCTGTATTAAATTTCTGCTCCCCACTCTCCCTTTGCCACTGAATCCTGAACCAACCTTCATTTTCTAATGATGCGTTGATTACAGTTTTAAATTCCATAAACATGGTTCTCAAACACCCACTAAAAGTAGCATATCCAAAGATCTTGATACTGTACCTGTAACTGTTCCATGCTGCAACTAAAACTAATCTCTGGGTTGGACTGGGCATCACTGCTCTATGAAAGAAAAAAAATACTGTTCATCTGTATAAAGGAAATTAAAACGTGTGTTACACATACCATTTTTAGATAAAGATCTATACATACCTCTACATTTAAGGTCACCAAATATCCAGGTCGGTACATCTTATGAAGTTGATTGGTCTAAAACAACACAAAACACCAATCTTTAACTCTAACCTAAAAGAAGTTCCTCTAAATCACTCTACTGAGGAGTTTGTTACACTTTACCTTTATCTGATATTCCAACCGCCAAGAAACATCAGTTATATGAGGGAGAGATCTGCCTATACTGAAAGACAATGATAATTTTGTAATACCTATAGAAAAACTTCCAGTATCTACTGAATGGTGTCTTTTTTTCCTCAACCATTTCATTCCACTCTGAACAACTTTAAAATGCTGCTGAACATCATCATCTTCAAGTTCAAAAGAGTAAAAGCATCCTACTAAGATTATATCAAGCTCTTTCCTTAAAGACATTAGCTTAACTTCAATTGTTCTGCTTGCCCTTTGGCCCTTTTATTTTGGGTCAGGATCCCAGGTTTTTGGCCCTGTTTTGTCTCACACCAGCAAGCTCCATTGATTCCCCACAAGTGAAAAGTGTCCCAGCTGGACACCTAATACAGTACCTACCTTCCCAGTAGGATTTCTAGAGAATTCTTATTATTCTGGGGAAAGAAGGAAAGAAAACACATTTTTGCAAACAGCAGGAAAAAGGGGGAGGTGGAAACTAATTGTTAATTAAAAAGTTTAAAGTAAGTAACCTGATACTCAGTGCAAAACAGTTCTATTCGCTCTCGTTCAAATTTACAGTCTTCTAGGTAAGTGCTAGAGGAGTGGGGGAAATAAACCAAGGCTTAGGCTTTCTTTAAAAACTGAAATGACAATCACAAAGATGCCACTTAAAAATAATCGGGCATTTAGATAAAGCCTGTACCTGAGAGTGGATCTGTCAACTCCGTGCTTTCCTGCCTCCAGGATGTAAGTTGCAGCTGCTGCATGACAATGCTTTAAAACCACTGGGTCGATATGTTTCAAGTCTGGGTGATCTAAAATAAATTAGTTGCTAATGATTACAAATTCTTTAGACTCCTGTTCCTAAGAGGAATATTTTGGTTTGGGTAAGACTTTTAGAAAAAATAACAAAAACCCAATTGTAAATGGATGAGATGAACAAGGTCAATTGCAAAACAATAAAGAGAACACAACAATAATCTGCTGTCAATCTCTTTTCAATTACCTTCTTTTATTTCGTCTTAATCTTTAAAAAAAAAAAAATACCAGGCAGGCCTCAAAGAAAAGGGAACAGTGGTTGCTGGCTGGATGAAAGCAAAGGAGAAACAGAAGCCAGTTTACATAGTGTTGTAATTTTCAAAAGGAACAACTTTCAAAAAATGACATTTTACAGTAATTGGCTCCATGGACATAAATATATCATGGAAGTTTGACAGGAGGGTATACACCAGAATATACAGGAGAAATTTCAAAATCCCATCAATATATTCAAGTTACACACACACACATACACACACACACACTGTGCAGAGATTAACCCAGGTGGTGGTTACTATTTTTTGCTTGGAGAACATCTTCCACTTTCATACTTTTTGTCCAACTGTCTAATATGAAACTAGGGGAGAAAAAAAAAAAAAACACCAGAGTTCTGAAGTGTGTTGATACATTTGAGGAAACTATCTACAAGTGGTTTGTCTTAAAGTACCCTCTGAATCCATAATGACAACTGCATTCTGCGACCAGACATTTAAAACAGTCTCTCTTCCTGGTAACCGCTGCAGAACAAAACATTCTGGGCGAAGAAGCTGGGTTCAGCACACTGAACGCCAGTGTTGGAGTCCTCCCAGGCTCGGAGGTGTGCTCTGGGCTGGGGAAGTCAGGGCTATTTGACCCAGCCGTTCCTTCGGAACAGACCCTTCTGAACCCCCTCCAGCCCAGCCCGGGAGGCTGGACCACAGGACCTCCCCAGCTGAAGTCCAAGTGTCAAAACAGCCTCCGGGAAGGCTGAAAACCCCACACAGTTAGGCCACAGGCAAGACTTGAACGCGGCTTTACAAAGGAACAAAGAGACTGGCAGAAAAACCAGGCCGGGAGCGTGGAGCCGGCCGCGTGCAGGTGCCCTGCGGGGGCAGCACGGCGCTCAGGGCCCGCTGGGGTCCCCACACTCGGCCGAGCGGGGGCCGGAGCCCGGGGACGCGCCCGGGCTGGGGCTGTGCCCCGGTCGCCGGGCTGGCGGCTCTGCCGGGCGCCCCTCCGCCCAGGCCGCGGCGGCGGGCGAGCCGCTTACCTAGCGCGGCCTCGTCCGCCCGGGCGTCCAGCAGGCTCTGGAAAGCCGCCCGGAGGAGAAGCGCGAAGGCGTTGGAGTCAAACGAGCCGGGGTCCGCCAGCGTCTGGAAGCCTCTCTGCACATACTCCGAGAGCTCCATTGTGAGCGCGCCGTGACCTTCGACACGCGCACCACGTGACTCGCGACGCGCGCCCAGCTGATCGGCCGCGCGCACCAGCGGCGGGGCGGCTCGGGGAGGTTCGGCGCCGGCTCGGGACGGTTCGGGGAGGTTCGGGCGGCGGCTCGGGGAGGTTCGGGAGGGTTCGGACGGAGCTCGGGAGGCGGCTGGGCCTCTCGGCCTCCGCCGCCCTGCGGGCCTCCGGGGCGCTACGGCCTTTCTTCCGCGGTGCGGGAGCCGCTGGCCTCGGCCGCGGCCGCCGCGTGGACGCGCTGGCGCTCACCTGGGACCGCACCCGCTCCGTCCCGCCGGGCCTGGGGCGGGGAGAAGCGGGGGTCCCGCCGCCGCCAGTGCGAGCCGAAGCGGGGCTTCGGGACGGCGGGAGCCCGGCCAGCGAGCACCCGCCAGCCTGACCCGCGGCGCTGCCCTTCTGTGAGGCTCAGACACCTCAAGGTGCCGATTTTGCCGAGTCTTTGTCACTTCAGGAACACGGCAGGAGACTCTGGAGCGACGAGCACGGAGACGCGGCGTGAAGAGCCGGTGTGCGCGCGCCGCACTTAACAATTGGAGGATTAATGCATTATTCATGAGGATATTTGACAGGATTATTAAAAATTTCATATGCCTCTGCGAATAAATACCTTCCAAAGGCACCCTGTCGTCTAAGGTGTGTGCTCCTGAAACCACCCAGCTCGCGGCGTAGCTTTAATTACCCAGCAGAGTCTTCGTTATCGTCATGAAGCGCGGCTGGGAATGGCAGCATCCTTAAGTGGACATGAATTACTTCTTCAGATGGCCGTAACTTCAAAGGCAAACCCTGCATAAAGTTTACCCCCCCCCCACCACGAAGTTGGTCTAGGAGAACAATAGTTTTTACATAGAAAACCGCGAAGGAAGATGCATTAGGCATTTTTACTTTTAAATCAAGAGTTTGAAACCTGAAAAAAAAAACCAAAAAAAACAAAAACAAAAACAAAAAAACAGTTCTTGAAGGATGGAGGAAAGGGCCGTGGAGCAAGAACTGTGCTTTACTCTTCCGGAGCGATAGTTTGCGACGTCAGATTCAACACGAAACGCTCTTGTTTGTCCTGATTTAGGTGCTCATTTGTAGGGAAAGGTTATTGGTGAGCAAAGTCGGCTTGCCTCGTCGCCGCGACGCGTGGACAGTCCCCCACTTCACGGTGACGGTGAAGCGGGACGCTCTGGTGTCCAGCAAGTTGATCGCGCGGCTCAGCCAAGCTCGGAAAAGCACGTGCAGCCCTTCGCTAGGTGAGAACACAGCGGCAGCAAAGGCTCATCAGTCCCCCGAGGGTTTTCCTGAAACAAACACCTATTAATTATGCCTGTCTCCCGTCCTCTCCACTTCTCTTTTTACCCCTCCCACTTAAAACGTCAGCTGAAAAATCTCAAGATACTTGATTACAGGGCAGAACCGTGTATGTGTTAATAGTAACAACAGTGAAACGTTCTGTTTATTATATATTTTATGACCACTGTTACCACTCAAACAGAATTTGAGTTGATTGCTCTGATCATAGTTTTCTATCAACACTGAAAATATTTCTGTGTGAGCATGTGCTTTTAAAATAATATTTAAAAAGAGAATAATAAGCAAATGATAGCATGTTTGTGGGCATAAAAGCTAGGAAATTCACAGTGGTTGTTTGCCCCTGTAGCCTTCACATGCCTCTTGCCTATACTGTCCTTGCAGGGGACTCATCTCTCCTGTCCAAATATATTCATGTGTTAGGCCCAAGTACTGGCTACACTTCCAGCACTCACAAAAATTTTCAACCATGATGTTTTCTCATGCTAAAAATTGGATTTTTTTTTTTTTTTTACTACTATAAGTAAATTTCTTTTTATTCCCTTTGGTGAAGACATAGGATTAAACATTTTATTTACTGAACATCTGTGCCTTTGACAAGCTGTTGCAATGTAATGAAACATTGTTATTAAAAACATGCTGTAGACTTCCTTGGCCACAGTCTTATAAAATCAGTGTATTTTATATTGTTAGAAAAACTGAATAACATTCTGAAAGTGAGCAAATAAGTACTTAAAACTTTTTGTTTCCACAGCTAAAAACAGCCTTGACACTTCCATTAAACTTTACAAATCTTTGCAGACTCAAAGCCAATAGACTGACCTCAAAGGGGACTTTAGAAGAACAGTTTGGGGGAGCTGAAAATAACAGTAGTCAAACATCTTCATGTCAATAATGTGCCTATCCTTTATTGTTACAAACATTGAAGTCTCAAGTACTGATATCTTTGTTTTACTTTTTAAGAACCTAGAAGTTATTTTAAGAACTAAAAAGTATCCTTTTAAACAATGTTTTTGAGTTTCAGAGTACATTGTATCCTTTGAAAAGGCTGTTTGTTTTAAACAGCTTAATGTGGCCACCTCACTGTCATTACAATGACAGTTGGCCAGGGCTTTAATAGCATCTCTGTGGTCAGCCTTCCCCAGAGGCCTTATTGCTCTACATATATTAGTTTTCTGAATTAAAAACAATTTTTAGGAGAATAAGTACTTTTGATATTGTGCAAAGCAAGCTGAGAGAAGGTGCTCCTGTAGATTAAGGAGTTTTTTGGACATCTGTGGGCAGGAAGTAAAAAGAGCATGTGTAACGCCTATAAGCCAGCTGGAACCTGTGTGGTTCCTGCCCTTCCACCAATACTCTCATGTTCCAGGCATGCAGAAGACGGCAGCACACACCTAACGCCCCAAATAAAAGAAACTACTTTGCTTTTTACCCCCAATATGGTTTCTTTCATGATTAATAATACACTCTGGAAAAATTCGCTAATGAAAATAGAATTGTTTTTTAAGCTGTTCTTACCACAACTGGACAGTTGGAAGGAATGCTTAATTGAGTTATACATGACCTTTGAGGAATTTAGGTCAAAAGCATTTCAATTAAGTTTATAAGATCTATGTATAGGCATTTATTTTATGAAGCATATTTACTTTGTAAGTCATGAATTGGGACTAGAGATTTGAATGGTTAGGTCTTTGCACATTCAGGATCCTAGAGTTCAAATGACCTGAGTAATAAGAGGAGACACTAAAACTCTTTTTTCCTGAGTTAAATACAAAATGGAATCTCAATTTCTAAAATCATCATTGCTACAATAACTTATTCAGATGCATATAAAAAAATTTCAGTGTAGCCTACCTTAGTGTATATGTGTGTATTTAAGAACAAAATGCAAATTCATTTCAATGGAGTCAGAGTTCAATATAGGAAGGAAAGAAAGAAAGATGTGAGGTAACTTTAAAAAAAAAAAAAAAACAAAACAACTGGAACCAGAGAAATGGAAATCCATGATAAAATATTCCATAAAACACTCAGAAAAGTCACAAGCATTTGGGTTTTCTCCTCAAAAATTTAATTTAAGACATTAAAATTAAATACTAAATGGCTCAGTTTCCATTTAGATTTTTCACTATTTTATACCATTTTCTCATTTTAAATGAATAACTATAAAATATAAAAACTTCAAAATTGAACAAGAAAGAAATTTTAAATACTTAAAATCCAAGATTCAAAAAGGTCAAATTATCATGCTGCTAAGGAACTCTTTCTCCTTTCTTCTTTCTTTTCTTTCTTTCTTTTCTTAAAGGAAACATCTCAAGGCCTGTCCTGAAGGAAGGGCACTAATTTTGTTAAAACTTTGCAAATGGAGAATTCTATAATCAAGTTAGTAACAAGAAATCTTTTGCATGTCTGAAGCGAAGCGTGGGCGCTGCTGTCGCTTGGTGTCACCAGTTTTGTTACTGCTGAGGTGAGAACCAGAGGACTGCAGATTAAAGGGACATGCATGATCAAGTCACACATTTTAATATCAACTTTGTAACTAATCAGCCTAGAAAATAAGCAACATCGATTAGACAGACTCTCCACAGATTAGTAAATAATTTTTTCTCTTCAGGGCTTCAGAGTAACATCAAAATGAAGATGTCTGGACCCTTACCTTGAAGCAAAGCAGTTGAGTTGGGCGGGAATATCTGAGTCACATAGGCCAAAGCTGTGAAAGAGACATGAGGACATGTTTTGTGAGAAGGAAGTGGGATGAACAAATGCCATTTGCCAAAAGATGAAGACAAATTTTAATTAAAAGATGAGGAAACTAGGAAAAAATGAGAAAGAGCATGTATGCATCATCCAATAGGAAAAGAACGTGTCTTGGAATTTCTGCACAAACAGGAAACAGTAATTTGATTTTAAATTCATCAAGTGGCCTAGGTGACTGCAACTTATCTTTAAAAAAGAGATTATTAATAGCAAATTTACTTCTGAATCATTGCTTTTTTAATCTCCATCCCAGCGAACTGCTGTGGCAGTTACGATGGTCAGTCATCAGGCAAATGCTATTACACAGATTAAATTCACGACTGAAACAATGAGCACAGGCCCTCAAGAGCAGGATTCTTTTCTTTTCTCCCTCTCTTTCTCTGCTTGAGTTATAAAGATCACAACTCACTTTCCAAAGTCTTTGCTTTGGTGTCAGCTCAAATGACCCACGATTCAGCTGAGAGAGGGTAAAAATGAAGCCCAGACACGTGGAGACACGCTCATGCTGATGAACTTATCAAATTCCTGACGTGCACAGACTGTCCATTACATTGTTAGGATATTTTTAAGAAGAGAGAGAAAGGAAGAGAGAAAAATTAACAGTGAAGAAAAGCATACAGAAGGGAAGAAGAGCCTTCTCCTTCACCAGAAGATCAATGAGGTTGCTTCCTTTCTCTCACATGTCTGTTCCAAGACTTCCTTAGCTGTGCTGGCTCCAGCAGACAGTAGGGTAGCGCCCCAGGTACAGCGGGTAGGTCATCATGTGCCATGTCCAGAAGCCAGTCTCCAGGTGCTCTACATCTCTGCGACAGCGCCAGCTACCTGACAGCGCCAGCTCTTCTTTCTTTGCTTCTGGATTTGGAATTGATTCTATGTTTTCTCAGGCCTCAGAAATTGGAATTTTGGTCAGACTCAAGAGTTCCAGAAAAAACATAAACAAATAGGC